TATAATAAGCTAAATAAGATAATTAGCTGAGCTTCAGTTTTTCATCCTGTATTCACCGTCTCCCTTTCCGTGTTAGGTATTTAATTGTTTTATGACTTCCCATTTTATACTGGTAGTTTCTGTCACTGGGACCTCTTTTCTAGTTTCGCTTCCCCTGTCTCATCATCTTGGATTTGTTTCGGCTGTGTCTTGTAGCCCGATGTTTCCCATCTCCCTGAAACCATCAGTTTGCATTAGTCCTTTGTTGCATTGCACCATTTGTTCAGTCTTTCTGCCATGAACACAACATTGGAAAACCTCCCCTGTACCCTTAATGATAAGTTTAAACACCTGAGTGAATATCAATAAAACGGTTCGCTGACCACTGGAATGGTCTCCGAGTAGCTGCATTCATGACTTTGGACTGCAGCTGCTGGTTTTTCTTTTGTTGTGCAGCCTCTGTGAGGTCTGCGTAGAGCAACATGAAGCAGGTTTTCACCGCCTCCAGATTCATGTTAGAATTTCCATCTAGTTAGCAGCAGATATCCAGATCTGTTTCAGCTGTAGTCCAACACAGGAAAGAGAAGAGACTCACTGAAAAAAGTGAAAAGAGTTTACAGCGACTGAACTTTAAAAGAAGTGAGGGGACTGTCGATAATAAGCCTTGTGACAGGACCCTACGACCCTCCACTCTCCCGTGACCTTGAAGTGGACGGATGTATTGTCAACAATCAAGATTTCTCTTGCACACAATAATTTTGGTGCTCTCCAAAAAGATTTTGGTCTTACTAATGAAAATCACCAGGAAAATGATAAAAAATACTTTTAAGCAGTTTTCTTTCAGTGGAATCTCATTTACTAAATCATATGACACATTTTCTTCTTATCAAAAGGCCAAAAATAACAGGAATGGGCAAACATTTGTGTTAATTAGGGTAAGAGAGACTCACTGTAGTAACTACACACAGCCCAATTGTGCCTATTAGCATAATCACCCCCACAAGGCCAGTTTTTATTCAGGCAATAACGTGTGCTAGTAAATCTAATGCAGATGCCGTAGTTCTAACAGGCGGATTAAAAACTACAAAATTCTATAAAAACATGTCTATGGTCTATGTGTGGGGGAAAACCGACGTGAAAAATTACCCTGTGACTGCCTGTCACATTGTGTGTAAATGACTCTCACTGAAACAGTGACGCACACGTGTGGCTTTTTATTCCAGTTATAACCACAAAGTTGGCCTCATGACCTTACAGGCCAACAAAAATCAGGTGACTGCACAGCAGGACATTTCATTGGACGTGTAAAGAGAGGCGGCTTTCCCAGTCAGTCATCCACATGAGTCATGATGGTGTGCTGGCAACAAGGCCATACTGTTGGACACACAATATCTCCCTGTAGCCTGTGGTCTCTCTCCATGGATGACTGCCTAAGACAGAGCCGCCTCCTAAGGTGTATTTTTCAGAAAGGAGGGCAAGAAAAATCTACTCACAAGTGGCACTGTTAGTGAAACGGCTGTCTGAAAAGAATAAATGCCAAAATACAAGGAGGGTGCACTATGTTA